TTGGAGAGCACATCTTTATTTTTTTAAATATTTATGGATTTACTTATTTATTTATGGGTTTTGGGTCATACCCGGTTATGCTCTGGAGTTACCCCTCCCCTGGCTCTACGCGTAGGAATTACTCCTGGCAGTGCTCGGAGGACCATATGGAAGGCTGGGGATCGAACCCAGATCAGCCGCATGCAAGGTAGACATCGTATCCAAGGAACTATCGCTCTACTAGGCAGTGCCCAGGGCTTATATCTAGCTCCGTGCTCAGGCATCATTCCTGGTAGGCTTCTGGGGACCACATAGGATGCTGGGGATGCACTCAGGTCAGCCGCATGCAAGGCAAATACCCTACCTGCTGTCCCATTGCTCCGGCCCTTGTTTAGTCTTTTCCAATGTCAGGGAATTTTCAAGTGATACTCACATGATTATGTGTATTTCTCAGGCCTTTAGGGTTATATGTCCCCTGCTTTATAGGGGACACATAACCCTGCTTTAAAGGGGACACGTATGTCCGTCATGGCCTCTGGTGCCAGTAAAATTGAATAATGGCATCTAGAGTGTATGTATGTGTGCATCTTATTCAAGTCTTCTACTCAGTCCCATAGGGAATAGCACTGTAGCACTGTAGCACTGTCCTCCTGTTGTTCATCGATTTGCTTGAGCAGGCACCAGTAACGTCTACATTGAAAGACTTCTTGTTACTGTTTTTGGTTTACCAAATTCGCCACGGGTAGCTTGCCAAGCTCTGCCATGTGAGCAGGATACTCTTGGTAGCTTGTTGGGCTCTCCGAGAGGGACAGAGTAATTGAACCTGGGTCGGCTGCGTGCAGAGCAAATGCCCTACCCACTGTGCTCTCGCTCCTTCTTTTGAATAATCTTACTTTTCTGTAAGATTTTATACTAACAATTATTTGAAGAGCACTGTACTAAATGAGAGAATATAGAGAAATATCCTGAATCAATGATGCTTGTTAGATGTGCTTCAGATATAGTGAGACTTCTGGGGCTTGCTCAGAGAATAATCAGTTTGGGTTTAGAGTTCCTGTTCATGTCTCCCGAATGTTGTCTCTTACTTCTTAGACTACATTGCTCTTTTCAAGAGTCTATAAGCAGAAACCTTAACGTTTCTCTTTCTAGTTTTCAAGTGAGGGGTAAAAACTGCATCCTAAATAGACTTCAGAGAGTCTCTGGGACCTTCCATATAGGTACACATAACTGTTCTTTGTCACTTCAAATTCATGATCAGACATCAAGTCAGGCAGTCATGCACACTGAGTAGCATGACAATCTGACCATGCTGTCCTAGTAATTCTTCTTAGAGTCAAACTTATTATTTTTCTCTCCTGGATGCTCTCTGTTCCCTGTCTTCCAGATCGTCCAGAGTAGATTAGATGCTGCTGTAATAATAAGCAACCCTGAAATCTCAGTGGCCTCACTTGTCTTGTTCATTTTGCTTATCACTTGTGGTTTGGTCGAGAGTCACTTGTGACTCAAGAAAGTAAGAACTCAGTGATCCAAGTTGGTTACAGTGCCAAAGAGGAAGAGTATTCTAGAACCTTGTTTCTTAAACTGTGGGTCACTACCCTGAATATGAGTCATGAAAAAATGTTAAATATTGTTTAAAAACAAATTTCTTTATGATATTATTTTCAGAAAATGTTTGATTTGTTTACCTCTATTATGTACTTGGAGACCCAGGTTTCATGCAGAATTTTTTCGGGCATAAAGGGGTAATGAATGGGAAAAGATTTAAGAAGCTATTCCCTGGAGGACCTGACCACTGAGATGTTGCAGGCTAGACATGACATTCTTCGTTGTTGGGTTGAAAAAGTTGCCTGCTTTTTCCATCTTGAGGGGGGCAGGCAATTGGATTCTGTGTTGGGCCCATACAGCTGGGTTATAGGGGAGGAATCCAGAACTATTTGGCAAACAGCCCTAATGACCAACACACATTCCTTGGTAGTGATTCATGTTACATTTTCTGAGAAAAATGACAGTACCTCCCTCCCTGTGTAATGCCTAATACTTAGCCATTTTCCTCCTATCAGATTTATGGTTCCATCTGAATTTATATCTTCTATGTCCCACTTGCTTGTTCCAAATTAGGAAGTATTTTTTCCTTTCAATTTTTAGAGATGCCTTGAATTATAATAATGCTAATGATAGTTTCATGGCTGCAACATTCTAATACCACAACTACAACTAGAGTTTCCAAAGTTGTATCTTTTCTTCTATCAGATGGCTTTGTCCAGATAATTGTCAGTAACAAGTGAACAGCACGCAAGACAAGTGCCTTGCCCACTGTACTATCTCTCTGGCTCTTGTCAGCAACAAATTTTGAGCACATACAGTGGTATCCTATTAAGGGCTTAACAGTTGACTTTGGACAGGATATGGGAAGGTTGTGATTTTTTAGTTCTTAAAATGGAGAGCCCGGCAAGTTACCGAGAGGATCTCACCTGTACAGCAAAGCCTGGCAAGCTACCTATGATGTATTCGATATGCCAAACACAGTAACAAACACAGTAACAAGTCTCATGATGGAGATGTTACTGGGCCTGCTCGAGCAAATCGATGAAGGATTTCAGGGAGGACAGGGCTACAGTGCTACAGTGCTAAAATGTAAAACATCAGTAAAACATCATAGTCACAGTCCTCCCGTTGTTCATTGATTTGCTTGAGCGGGCCCAGTAACGTCTCTATTGTGAGACTTGTTACTGTGTTTGGCATATTGAATACGTCATGGTCACCTTCACTTTTTTTTTTTTTTTTTTTTTTGCTTTTTGGGTCACACCTGGCACTGCACAGGGTTTACTCCTGGCTCATACACTCAGGAATTACTTCTGGCAGTGATCGGGGGACCATATGGGATGCTGGGAATTGAACCTGGGTTGGCCGCATGCAAGGCAAACGCCCTATCCGCTGTGCTATTGCTCCAGCCCCTTCACAAATTTTTCTTTTCTTTTTCTTCCTTTTTTTTTTTTTTTTTTGGTGGGGATAGGAATTGGTTTTTGGGCCACATCCAGTGGTGCTCAAGGCTTATTTCATGCTCTGTTCTCTGGGATCATTCCTAGTAGTACACAGGGACCACATGAGGTGCTGGGGGTTGAACCTGTGCCAGCAGCATGCCAGGCAAGCGCACTATCTCACTGGCCCCAGACATCACCAATGTCAGGCTGCTGTACAGTGCTCCTGAATGTGAAGCCAGAGGAGATGTGCACAGGAGGCTTTTGCCAAGGGCTCCAAAGTGACTCCAATGTGTCACTGGCCGTTGCTTATGAACCAGAACCACTATTTGTGTACTTGTCTTTATTTTGTAGTGGTATCCCTATTAAGCAGTACAGGTATATGTATATTTGTATATAATATTGTATATTTGTGTGCAGTATTACATGATGTTTGTTTTTATACCCCTACTCCTGCCTTCACCTCTGATAGATGGCAGACACAGCCCAGAAGGTGTGGAATACTCCATTTAGGACATTGCCGCTCTGGGCATTGCCCCTGGAGTTAATCAAGCTCTCTTCTGAGGCACCCTCCTTTTCCCTTGCTATCATTCCTCTGAGTCAGCTGGCACCATCTTGTGTATGCTACCATCTTTCGCTGTTGAAGGCCGCCTGGTCTTCCCCCATCATCAACAGCTCCCATTTTCTATTTTCTCTTTTCTGTTTCTGGCAGAATGACTCGAACAGAGATTTATACATGCTGCCTCCCCTTGCTCCTCTTTTCATTTCCTCCTCAGCTCACTCTAAGCTGACTCATCCCATGCCACCCGGCAGCAGTTGCTTTTGTCACTGACATCTCTGATTTCCCTGCCGCCAAATCTCACGGGCAATTTCCGACCTTGGACTCACTTGGCCTCTTAGTGGCAGTTGACATAGATGACAACTGTGCTTTGGTTAAAATAAAAGTCAGTTTCATTTTATAGAGTCAGGGATTCTGGCTTGATACCAATTCATGTGTCAAGCTCTAGGAGCCAGAAGTTGTTAGAGGGTGAAGGGTTATGAACTCTTAAACCCCATCAGTAAATTCTGGTATTTCTGTATTAGGGAAGGGAATTCTAGTATGATCCTCCAGTGATGCCAGTAGAATTATGACAGCTTCCTAGCTTTTGTTGGAATGCTTCTTTCATGCGTTTATTCACCCCTTTAATAGTTGCTGAGTGTATCTGGCAGTAGCACAGTGGGTCATGAACAAAATTCTCAGGGCTCTTGTGTTCATTTAACTTAGTGTCTAACTTACAAAGAGAAGTGATTTTTTTGTTGCAGTGAAAATACTGAAGCAGAAACCTGTTTGCCATTTATTGAGGGGCAGGGCAAGTGAGTGGCTAAGAACTCATACTCTGGGCTTAGGAATGTGGTTCGGAGGTCAAGTGCGTGCTTTGTATGCAAAAAAAAAAAAAAAAAAAAAGGAAGGAAGACCGAAAGGAAAGAAAAAGAATTCATACCGTGGCACTGACTCTGGAGACTACTGACTTCAAATGACTTCAAATTCCAGTTCTAGTATTTATTAACTGTGTAACTTTAAGCAAGTTTTTAAAATGTCTCTGTGCTTTGTTTTTCTCATTGATAAACTAACTGGAGATAAACTTCATGAAGTCCTGCTACATGAAGTTGTGAGAAGTGCATAAGCTAATGTGTATAAATCATTTAGACTAGAACATGGTGCATATTAAATAATGAGTGGTCATAGTAATAATAATATAAGTAATAAGTAATAATAAGTAATAATGAGTGGTCTGGGAAATCAAAGTTTCAATTATTATTTTGCTTATATAAGAGACTGAATTGTTTGTGTTTGATGAACCTTGATTGGAAAACTCACCACGTTTTTTTTTTTATTTCATCTTCTATTTTAGGTTAAGAAGCTATAAGTCCTTTTTTAGAAATAATACCTGAAAGGTGTTTGGTTCTTTTTCCCCCCAGATGTTTACCATAAAATATGTTTTTGAAAATAATAAAGTTAATCTAGCCATCCATAAACACAGTTTTGCTTTGGTTTTGTTCTAGTGGCAGCTGAAATACCCTAAACTAGTTCTCCGAGAAGCCGACAGAGTACCGGAAGAGCTCCATAAAGAGGTCCAAGAAGCCTTTCTTATACTGCAAAAGCATGGCTGCCTATTTCGAGACCTGGTGAGGGTCCAAGGCAAAGATGTGCTCACTCCTGTATCTCGCATCCTCATCGGTAACCCGGGCTGCACCTACAAGTACCTGGACACCCGGCTCTTTACTTTACCTTGGCCAGTGAAGGGTTCCAGCATAAAATACAATGTGTCTGAAATAGCTGAAGCGTGTCAAATCTTCCTGAAGCTCAACGAATATTTGCGGATCAAGACCTTCCAGGCCTTGGAAGAACTTGCTGCCAAAGATAAAAATGATATCGATACGGTGCCAGTGTGTATCGGTCCAGATTTCCCCAGGGTTGGCTTGGGGTATGATGGACCCGATGAAATGGACTTGAGGAACCGGTCAGCGTTCAACGTGACACTGGTGAATTTCATGGATCCTCAGAAAATGTCGTACCTGAAAGAGGAGCCTTACTTTGGCATGGGGAAAATGGCAGTGAGCTGGCATCATGACGAAAACCTGGTGGACAGGTCAGCGGTGGCAGTGTACAATTATAGCTGTGAAGGTACAGTCTGCTCTGTCATGAAGCTGCCATAGAATGGAACGTGGCCAGAGTGCTATAGACTCTGGATGTGTGTGTACGCATGTGCGCCCATGTGCATGCATGTACACAGGACTGCTGTGTGTTTAGGTAGACTTGCCATGTCTCCGTAGCTATAGAATATGTCTCTCTCTCATCTGGCTATGGAATCTAGCTTCTTGTTCTGTACTCCAAGCATCTTTCACGTGTAGGCACTGCGGCTATTCCGTCTCGCCCAGGGATGGCAGCATCTTTGGTTTCATATAGCCCACTGCCTTTCTCCAAAGCTCCTCACAGATTATCCAGTAGCGACAATTAACTTGCTGATAAAGGGCTGGGAAAAGAAAAAAAAAAAATCTGTCAAATCTCCCCAGGTTCCCACAGGTGCACATTTCCAGTCTTGCCAGAGTACTTTATTATGGTTGACATCACTGTCTTGACGGGAGTGATTTGTCAAATCTGGTCTTGGCTCCTGGCTTCCTGCACTGTGACTACTGTCCTTCCTGCCAAAAGCAGTTGAGGTGGGTTTTCCAGCGGGCAGTTCTCGATGCACTGGAAGCGCTCTCGCCCCTCAATCAGTTCTGTCATTTTAGACTTAATCGGGTTGCTGGGGCAGACTTGGCTTTTTGCAGCTTCTGAAATCTGGTCTCCTTGCAACAGTGATTGTCAGCAACGTTTTTTGAGTTGCCTCCCCAGAATTCCCTTCTTTTGTTTTATAGATTTTGTGTGTTTAGGGTCTTCTTTATTTTTTAGAACAACAACAGCAACAAAGTACCAGAGCAGCATAACCATTGCCCACTTTCTTCATAATAAAGGACTTGGAGGCAGAATATCAGTTCTTTCGCTTATTAGCTCTTCTGGTTTATGGAAAAATGCTTGTTAAACTAGAATTCTAGATAGCCCATCAAGGAATGAACTAAACTTTGAAATTGAGTTTTGGGGCTGTACTGGTGTAGGTTAGGAGCTACTCCTGGTTAAGGTGTGTGGGGAGCATGTAGTGGCAGGGATTGAACCCGAGCTTTTGGCGTGCAAAGCATGCACACCAGCCCACTGGGCTACCTCTCTGGCTCTCAGCTGGAAGTTTTAAAGGTTTTTATTTTCTGAAATTTGAGGGTTAAGGTAAAGGTAAAAGGTAAAGGCCCTCCCGTTGATCGTCGATTTGCTCGAGCGGGCCCAGTAACGTCTCCATTGGAGACTCTGTTGTTACTGTGTCTGGCATATCGAATACTCTCGGTAGCTCAAGTTCCTGGCACAAATGAGGCATGTGTTCTACCACTTAGTCACATCCCTGACCCCAATTTCTATTTCCCCCACCAGATTTTAAAATATTTTTTAAAAATTAATTTTATTAAAGTAACCGCTTTGGCGGTTTTTTGTTTGTTTGTTTTGTTTTTGTTTTGGAGGGTTGGAGCGATAGCACAGCAGGTAGGGCATTTGCCTTGCATGCGGCTGACTCGGGTTCGATTCCTCCGTCCCTCTTGGAAAGCCTGGCAAGCTACAGAGAGTATCCCGCCCGCAAGGCAGAGCCTTGCAAGCTCCCCGTGGTGTATTTGATATGCCAAACACAGTAACAAGTCAACAAGTCTCACAATGGAGACGTTACTGGTGCCCACTCAAGCAAATCAATGAACAATGTGGGGGGGGGGGGGGGGACAGTGCTACAGTGGACAGTGCTTTGTTTTGGAGCCACACCCAGCTCTGCTCAGGGTTTACTCCTGACTCTGTGCTCAGGGATCATTCCTGGTGGACTCGTGGAACCGTACGGGGTGCTGGGGATTTAAATCTGGGTTGGCCACGTACAAGGCAAACACCTTACTCACTGTAGTAATTGCTCCGACCCCTGAAGTAACTGGTTTAGATAATAGATTTGAAAAAAAAAGAAATCTCATGGCTCTCTCTACGTTTCTTAGCACTTACCAGTTTCAGTGATTCAGGACAACAAATACAGTTTCTAACTTTCCCTAGGTCTCTCAGTTTGAAACAAGGATCTCATTTAGCAGGTAGAAATTTCACGTGTTTCCACAGCATTTCAAGTAATGATGCTGGCCCACAGAAATTGCTTGAAGGGGATTTGATGTTGTCCTAATGGAAAGAATGAGCGCCTCTGATCTTTAATAATTCCTTGCCAGGGATTTAAGAACTTTCTCATCCAAGAACTCTGATGTGAGAGAACAATGGCATGTGTTAAGTTTCTTTCTTAAGGAGGCGACTCTCTGAAACTGAGGCAGTGGTATGTGATAGCCCCAGCGGCTACAAGTGTGTCTTTGTGCTCCCACTTGCTCTCAGCCCTCCAGTTTAATAGTCCTATTGTCCTCCTGGAGCGTGGGTGAGCAAGTCATTTTAGAAACCTAGAGTATCTTCCAGACAGGAATTTGGATGTTTCATGACTAGTTTGTATGGTCCCAAATCGTTAAGACTGAAAAAGTACACAAACATACATACATGTGTATATGTGTATGTGTGTGCGTGTGTATGTGTGTGTGTATTCACAGATTTATAAAGTTTTATCCTCAAGTTATCACCTTGTGGAGACAACTGCAAAATTTAGATCTTAATTCCTTTGTTCTCTTCACCTGTGAGAGTCCCAGAACTCTGATGAAGAACAGTAGGAATATCTTGGGAGTTGTTATCAGCTCCATTTAATTTTTACATCAACCCTGTGAACAATGTAGCCATGTTGTCCTCGCGTCACAGATGAGAAAACAAGCACAAAGGATTATAGCCATTCCCAGTGGTGTCGAGCTTAGAAAATGGACATTCTACCCTTTGTGTCTTAAGACTAGTTGCTTATTTGGTGGGACTTTTCTCTCCCCGACAAATACTAGGTACCCCTGGGACTTGGGATTTTAGAATGTCTACTACTAGGGACTAGCCCAGTATGGTTCAAACCACTCTCCCACTCCCAGCCCTAAAATAGAAACATCTCCTGCAAGGTCCCCTGAGCACTGCTGATTAGAGATGACTCCAGGCACCACTAGACCCAAGAGTCACTGTATCACTGGATCTGAGCACTGAAATATGAGTCCTGATAGCCAGTGGAATATCTCCAGCAGTGGAAGTAGGGCCCCAGAGTACTGCAGGGGAGTCCAAAGAATAAAAAAATGTGTCCTACTTGCTTTTCTGATATTCTGCTTTCTTCCCCCTACATTCATTCTCTTCTCCCATAACTATGAATATTGTTATGAAATGAAATTACGAACTGATAATAAAATGATAAAATATCAGACCTGGAAGGCATTTTTTGGAATTACCTAACCTCCCATTGCACAGATGAAAAATATTGAGGTGGGAAATTGGAAATGACATGTGCATGGTCTCATACTTACTCAGCGATGAGTTTTATCTGCCCCAGGAAAAGTTCGTGTTAATGCAGGGTAGGTTCAGGAACAGAAGTGATTACTTCCTGCTGAAATTAAATTCTGTTGAAGCTTAATATCTTTGAGGACTCTGCTCTAAATACCTTTTCCCAGTGAAATCTTCATGTAGATTTATAATGAGCCAATCATTCCTCTTTGGTTTATTTCCACGAATGGAGGTCATTGCAAAGTAATTTGTATAGGATATATGTAATTATATACTAAATTCATTGGCTTCACAAGCAATTCTAGTTAATAGATATCTCTAGTAGGAAGATTGAAATGGTACAATTTTTAATCAGGAATGGCTTCAGGGAACCATATGTAAATAGGCAGAGTATTTGCTTTTCCTCTTCTAGCTTTGCTGGCAATTGCGTGTCACTCTACATCCTGAAAAACAGATTTTGCAGAGGAGTCATTAAAAGCCCAGTGTTTAATATGGTCTTTCACCTTGTTTTTTTGACTGCAACATCTTCAGAAACTTATTTTAACAAAAACTGTTGGTTATTGTTTTGTTTCTATAGATGGAAATGCTCCGTGATATTGTTTATACAAAAAGCAATTTTTAAGAATTTTGATGAGTGTTGTATATTGCAGATTTTTTTTTTTGGCTGCATTCAATGGTGCTCAGGGGTTACTCTTGGCTCTGCACTCAGGAATGACTGCTGATGGTGTTCAGGAGACCATATGGGATGCCGAGGATCGAACCCAGATTGACTGTGTACAAGGCAAATGCCCTCCACTGTGCTATTGCTCTGGTTCCTGTTGCAGATTCTTGATACTGTTTACTTCTTTGTCTCCCAAGCAATGTTAAGGAATCCTGGTGGTCCCTCCCAGCAATTTTTGACCAACTGGGCCAGGGATTCAGTGTAGGGGGCCAAGGATGTGGTGGTGCTAGGCCCTGTGGTGCTGGGGACTATCTGAGCCACCCTGGCAGTGCTTGGGGGTCTCCAGAGCTTCACTTAGCGATCCCAGGAACCACATAATGCTGGTGATCTAATTGGGGTTGGCTGCGTGCAAAGTCTGTACTTTAACCCCTGTGCTATCTCTCTGGCCCATTGATACTATTTTCAGGGCGTCTCTTCATCTCCCATTCATTATGAGCCAATGAGGAGAATGTAGAGAAGGCAGTGTATAGTCTCTGTTCAGTGTGTGATAGACTAGAAAGCAGGACTTTTTACAGGGATATATATATATATAGATATAGATATAGATATAGATATAGATATATGTATGTATCCTAAATATATATATATAAAGTGTATATTATATATATATATATATTTTAGGATTCCCATTTTTAGTATTGACTTGGGAAAGGTTGGATCTATGATTCAGCTGCATTGGTGACACAAAAGAATGGGGTAGCTAAGTACCCAAACCAAAGAGTCAACAGTACTGAAAACATGAGACCCAAACTTCAGCAAATAAAGTTAGAAATGTGCCTGTCAGGAGGAGATATAGTACAGTGGGTAGGGTATTTGTTTTGAATGTGGCCAACCCGAATTCGGTCCCTGGCATCCCCTATGGTCCAAAAAGTGAGCCAGGAGTGATCCCTGAGCACAGCTCGGCATAGCCCAAAAACTTCAAAAAATAAAAATTGTGCCTTACGGAGTCGCAGGCAGGCTG